GCGCTCCCTCGACGGTCGCACACACACTCGCTCTCCTGTGTCGCCAATCCAGAAGTGATCCTTCGATCGTGGGAATTCTTGGTTGCTGGGGGAGGATACTGAGGGCAGAGGAGCTCCAGGCTCCTTCTGCCATCAATCAACCTGTTGGGCAGAGAGGAGGGGCATGGCCTGCCACAGGGCTTTGTGTGTCTATGGACGCACACAACTACTGGGGGCACGACCGGGAACGTGCGGGTGCCCCCCCACAGCAGCTGCTTAGCTGATGGAGGCAACTGTGCATGGGGGCGGGAGGCAGAGCAGTTCAGGGACCCACTAGAAGAGGAAGAATTGAAAACTTTTAAGAGGAAGAATACAAGTTTAATACAAAGGTGGGCCTCCTAGATGTAAATATAAAATAAAAAGCTTTATCACTTTAAGCTTTGAAAATTAAATATCGAAGTTGATTGGTTGCCATGGGCCCTTGCTCCAAGATTTTGTCTGCTCCAGTTTTCATATATACCCTTCAATGAATATAGTACACATCCGGCCTTAGATTCATGCAGTCACTGCAAGCTTTTAATCATGACTTGCATTGCTCCACACATTATTATTGTTCTCAAATAATAAACCTCCTCTGGCCTTTTTGTATTTTATCATTTGTGATGGTGGAAGTGAGAATGCCATCTATTTTTTTTAAATGGGGAAATGCTGTACTGCACTACATACATCCGTGCAATGGATACAGCTTAATGCAGTATGTACTTCTAAACGCCATGAGGTGGCACCGTTTTTCTTTATAGAATGGTGGTTGAAAAGTGATCTTCTTTTTATTCTATTTTAAGAACGTGGCATTTATTCCAACATATTGGGATTTCTTGGTGGTGTTTCTTGGGCAATGCTGGTAGCGAGGACTTGTCAGTTGTACCCAAATGCTGCAGCATCCACTCTTGTCCACAAGTTTTTCCTTGTCTTTTCTAAATGGTGAGCGCAAACTAAAATTTAAGTTTGTTTTTTTTTTTGGGGGAGGGTTTTTTTTTTTTTTTTTTTTTTTTTTGGGTTTTTTTTTTTTTTTTTTTCTTTATCCCTGATGCCACAAATATTCTGTAATGCATCATTTTATTATCCCTACAGGGAATGGCCTAATCCAGTGCTGCTGAAGCATCCAGAAGACAGCAATCTGAATTTACCAGTTTGGGATCCAAGAGTATGTAACATTGTGTATTAAGACAAAAATTACCAATTCAGTCAAATGGGGATGTCCTTGCTTACAACAGGGGTAGGCAACCTTGGCACTTTAGCTGTGGTAAAACTATAAATCCCTTCATGTCTTTGGTTGCCAACCTTGCTATTGGGGATACACCGATACTGGTTTTTCGGCATGGGAGTACCAGTACCGAATTATTTTTTTGTACTCGCCGATACTGGCATCCTGGGCTACTGTTGTCCAGGCTTATCAGGAAGCCTGCTGCCTGGCTTTCTGATTGCCTGGGAAGCCGGTGTTCTATCGAAAGAATACGGGCTTCACGTTCCGAGGGCAGCCTGGCTGCTTGACAAATCGGGAAGCTGGGCAGCACGTCATGGCCCGCCTCCCACCTTTCTAATTGGTCAAGAAGCCAGGCTGCCTAGCAACAAGTGAAGCCAGCTTCCTAGCCAATCGGGAAGGTCAATGATATGCAGCCCGACTTTCTGATTGACTAGGAAGTATTGGTGCATCCCTACTTGCAATGTCTCATGGGATGTAGCTGGAATGCAGAGGTTGCCTACCCCTGGCTTACAGGTTACTGATAGAGACGTAGACGTATCTTTTGCCTCTGGCCATTTGCTGTGTATGGTGACTATAAAGTTGCTGGCGCCAACTGTGGAAATTGGATTTCTCTAGAATTGCTGGGCTTACTGGCCCAGATGTTATTGGAGAGCTACTTATTTTTTTTATATTTTTTTTTAATTGAGATGTCATGGGCATCAAAATGTTGAAGTCACTTTTTAAGGTGTATATCTGATTTTTCTTTTTAAGGTTTAGATCCTCTCTGTGGTTGAGGATATATAATATTTACGCATACTGAATTTCTACATGGTAAACTTATAGCACAACTTTAATGAATGCGGTTAGAGGTGTTTGCACATACTTTATTGTTCTTCCAGAGCACCCCGAGGCCCTGAGTATTAAGGACATGCTGTTATGTGCACACCAGCATTAGGAATTGACCTGTCCTCTTCTACCTACACTTCATGTACCTAACAACTGCAGCAGTATTGGGCTCACAGTTAAAGCTAAACGTTAACTCCGAATTTCCTGTTCTTGTATGGTTTCGCAGACAAAAAGGCTGAAGCTGCAGTGTTTTAAATGTGTTTTTTTTCCCTCAGGTAAACCCAGCTGACCGCTTTCACCTTATGCCTATAATTACTCCAGCATATCCCCAGCAAAACTCAACATTTAACACCTCTACCTCAACCCGTGCAGTTATGATGGAAGAGTTCAGGCATGGTATGCTTTACACTGAGATATACTATGTATGTATCCATGCATTACTTCCGATTAGGTTCAGTTACTTGTTTTTGTATCTCACTGCATTGACTCTGACTGAGATGACAAATGGTGAAAATAAACTTACGATGGATTTTTGTCTTTTGAAGGTCTTACCATCACTTATGAAATCCTTCAAGGCAAAGCTGACTGGATGAAACTGTTTGAACCACCCAACTTTTTCCAGAAATACAAGTAAGTCATACTGATTATGACTAATATAGAGATCTGCACCGTTATATTACTGGTATAATCCAGAGAAGTCATATGACGCGTCTTTCTAAATCCCTTTTGAATCTCTTACCTTTTTGGTAAAAATAAAACCTTTTTGTTTTTTCTGTTCGTAATTTTATTAAAATATGTCAGACTAAGCAATGGATTTGTTTTTTTAACAATTGGCTCAGATTTATTTTGTTTTCCCATTTAAATCTTAACTGCTTCATACTACGGGAAATCTATAAACCTGGTGTCTGTAGTGCCATTATATTCATTCTTTTCATCTCCATAGAAGATGGAATTGTTTCTAGTTGTACTCCATATTTCTTGTTCTGTCTCATGCGCTCCCATCTCCAGTAGTCCTGCAGCTTTCTTTAGGTCCTTTGTTGATGGCATCAATTTGATGTCTATTTTATGAAGCTCCTGATATCATACAGAATCATTGACAGATACATTTGACCTGTTTAAAGTGGGTTTTACATTTTCATAGCTTTGCAATACAAAATCCACTGCAAACAGAAGGCCCCCAAAGCAAGGCACGCATTGCTACATTTTCAGCATGTTTTGTAAACTGAGTGCCATAGATTCCCTCTAATACATTTTGTTAAAGCGGACCTTTACTCCTTTGGAATTACCCCTTTGGACTACGGGCCTAAATGCTGGACTTCAGAATGAGTCCTGGGGGGGGGGATACCAGTTTTCTTTTAGCTGCTCAATTAGATATTTGATCTGCATAAACCACTGTATGTAGGTGTAAGGAGTATTTTTTTTTTTGTGTTTTTCCTCACTTTAGGCATTATATTGTTTTGATTGCCACCACATCGTCAGAAGAACATCATCTTGAATGGTATGTTAGCTTTCATTTTATACTGCTTTACAGGGATTCCATTTGGTCTTCTGTAAAATGTCCCCTTGCGTTAGCAGAATGTAGACAGGCACTGAAACAATCTATGATGTGTGAGGTTCTAGCTGTGCATATTGCTGGAGAGCAGTTTTGCTATGCCGGTATTGCTTAGTGGGAAGTTGGTCAGAATCTCGTTTCATGGCTTTCTGTTACTCCGCTGGGAGATTACTGATGGGTGGACAGCAGAATATTGGGTGCGTAATTAAGAAAAATATTTGATCATAAAAGCCAAAGTTGCAACTCTTCCCCACACTAACAAAGACTGTAGCTCTATAGCAAGCACCATCCAGCATGCCTATCCATCCCCCATGCACTGCGGCAGAGCCCCCTGAATATCCCAAACATATGGATATGCAGAAATGTGCACACCCTACCCTATACCAATGTTTGAAGTCCAAGTGATAACTAAGCCTCAACTCTCACATGGGGCCTCTAGGCTGCATACCTAGTCCTGCGCAAACAGTGACTACCGGAAGTTGCTATTTGTTTAGCATCTTCAGGTGGCTGCAGCAACGTCTAGGAAGAATTTCAGGCATTCTAAAGATTAGGATGTGAAATCGGAATGTGTCTGACATGCAGGTGCATTGTGTTTTTTCCCTTTTTTAAGAATATGGGCAGGTGGTGCTATGAGGGGTTAGAAATAAAAAACATTTTAATGGATATTCTAAGCATTAAAATAAGTCTTTCAGATGCAATAAAATCTTAAATTAATATGTTAAGATATGTGAAGAGGTGTGTGTTTCTGTTCCTTTTTTTTGTTTTTTCTTTCTTTGTAGGTTTGGTTTAGTAGAATCCAAAATCCGTGTCCTTGTTGGAAATTTGGAAAGAAATGAGTTTATTACGCTTGCCCATGTTAGTCCACAGTCTTTTCCTGGGAACAGAGAGCTCTGTAAAGAGTAAGTATCTAAGCTCCTGTATAGCAAATGTCGGCCTTTTTAACTTTGTCACACTGCATGCTATATAATTTCTTTCAAGTCCTTCTGTGATACCTAAAGCTCATGTTTTCATGTGTGTGAAACGAATTTTTTTTTTTCAAAGTGTTTTTACACATGTTAATATATTTTGTAAGTAATGTATAATAGTATTGGTGGTTTTTTTTTTTTTGTTTTTTTTTTTTTGTTTTTTTTTTTTTGTTTTTTTTCTGTCATCACTGTTTTATTCCGGCAGAGCATCAGTTGTAAAATGTGAAGGGGCATGTTGGAGGCTTCAGGTTCTAAATGTGTCCAAAAAGTCTCCACAGTAAAAAAATTAATAAATACTGCCTGGTAATACTCTGACTTCTCTCATACGCATACTACCTTCATACACTCTACCATTCCACTACTGCCCACTGTTTACTCCTCTCCTACATATGCTGTTATGTTTATAAATTCAGGGAAATAGGTTCTGTTATGTTTGGGAAGATAGGAATACTAATAATCCTATGGCCAAAATGTATCTCTTCCAGTAATGAGAACATGTCCATGTGGTTTCTTGGAATAATCTTCAAGAAAGTGGAGAATGCGGACAGTGTAAACATTGATTTAACTCAGGACATTCAGTTATTCACAGATACTGGTAAGTCCTTAATCCTTTGATTGTGTTTGTAATTTATACAGTCCTGTCATGTTCTGTATAGCTGATTTTCGTCCAGTACTGGTACACTTAATTGTGTTAACATCTGTATCAGTGAGAGGTCCTCTTCATGGAGATGGAAACAAAGTACCCACAGCAGTGAACCTGGAAGTGCTCAGAGGTGAGCACTTGCACGTTTACCGCCCCAAGGATAGATCGGGCATCGGATCTCCACTGAGTGTTCCCCGCCAGCCATCCTGACCGTAATTTGTTGTGGTCCTGGCACCACTTCCTCAGTTTGTAGAAACGATCTTACACCCTATTAATTTCTACAATAAAGACAGGAGCCAAGGGATCAATTTTTAAAACAATCTCAGATGCTATTACTGATGTGACCTTGTTTCAAACCCCTGGAATGTGGTATACATCATTGGCAGCGAAAATGTTCAATGCAGACTTTTATTCAACCTCTTATAAACCCCCAAGTTTCAGCACTTGGACTAGAAGAGGGAGGGGTGGAACTAAGCCAATCTGGGTGCAACATTCTCATTAACTTTGAGGAACAGGAGGATGGGAAGAGGGGGTGGTTGCTTCTGCTCACTCTCCAGTCACAGGCTGGAGACAGGGAAGTGACTTGCCTTTCATTGCTTAACAGCAAAAATAAAAAGGCTGGTCACAAAGCCGGCCTATGTATGGCTGTGTAAATCTCAGAAATCAAAAAACAAAATAAATCCTTTAGCAGGTGAAACCTCACCAATAGATGTATTTAAACTCTCTCTGCCTTCAGTTTTATTTAAATTTGATATTTTTTTTTTATTTGAGTATTTCTGCAGATGTGATTACTTTCCTGAAATCCTGTGATACATTTGCAGTATTTTTTGCATTGCAGTTTACAGACAAGCAAATAACAGAAAGGATGTGAAGATTGAAGCCACACATGTGAGGAGGAAACAGCTCTTTAAGTACCTCCCACCAGAAGTGTTTCAAAAGAGAAAGAAAGTAATTGCTCTACATTTACTCTGTAACCCTAATGTTTGTTTCACTTAAAACGGAGATTGCATGTATGTATGGATAGATATTGGTAAGCTGAATTGCTTGTCTGCTTCATAAGTTTCTGTGGAGATTTATGAAGGAACTGTGACAAGATACATAAACAGGGTTCCTTCATCACAATTTGCACACCTGCATTAGCATGAAGAGCCCATTGCAGCATTCTAGTCTACATGGTGTTAAATCAATGAAACCCAAACGCTTTGTAACATTCATGGCAGGAAAGTGGAGGTGAGAGGTCAAGTGGTGGAGTCTGAGAAATATATGAAGATGGTGGGTGATTCTTGTCTGCCCCATGTGCTTAGTTTTAAATGGACTGATTTATTCACTTTTGCTTAATATTGTATATTATAATACTGTTCAACTTTTTTGCAGCAAAGTCTTCCAGATATCAGTAAATCCACTGGTCTGTTATCCAAACGTTCATCCCTGGATGGTAACTGTCTGGACAGCTCCCAGGATACAGACTCTGGGTCAAACTTTGAGGCTCTTGCAGCTTTCCACAAATCCTCTAGATCAAACAGTCCAACTTTCTATGAGGGACAGAGGTCAGTGCAGTCTCTTTTCCAATTGCAGTGATTAATAATCTAATTTCTTCTTGTACTGTTTGAGACTGGAACATTCCTTTTTTGTATATTCAAAAAATTTGAACATGTCCATTTCAGGAATGCTATACCAGAAGACTCTGCACCAAGCATCCTGTCCACCCATAGGTTGGTCATTTCAGCTGTGCCTTCAAAATCTTCTGTAGGATTGGATATTCTAGATGAAGTACATTACGAGACCACCACATCCGACCAGAAATCGAGATCAAACAGCCCGTCATTGTTGGAGGCATGCAGGTCAGAGCAACTATCTTTGCTTTAGGGCCCAATTTTCATTTGTGCAGTTCGTTAATGCGCAAATAAAAGGAGAAAAAGTGCATTATGTCATTTGTTACTTGTATTGCGTTAAGGCAGGCTATTGAAATCCAACTCTTAGATGTAAATTGGCCCTTAATGCCCATCTCTCTGGCAGTACAGAGCTTTTTACCCAGTACATACTTGTTGAGAGTACTCAAAGGAAGCTTGTGTTTAAGTGCCATATCACTCTAATTGGAGCTTACTCAGGGCTGAGGATTCTCCCCTTGCTTCCTAATGGCCATTTGCTGTAATTTACACAAGTGCTGTCAGCATTGGCAATGCACAGGTTTGCTCTAAAATCAAAATTACACCTTTTGGTCATAAAACTTGTCCTGATTTTTGGTGGGTAAATTCCTAATTATAACTTGTTCAGCTGCCCTGAACCCATACGTTTTTGTATGAGTTGTCCAGACTGGGCTTACTCCATACTAGTGAATGACTAGAGGCTCTCTGTACATTGGTAACCATTGAGCTTCTTGGAAGCACTATAAAATGTTTATGATGGACGTCGGTATACTTCCACTGAGAAGCAATATGAGGGAGTGTGAATAGCTTTACTAGTCTATGGTGTGACATTTCCTAGAATGCATCATATACTCCTAATTGGAATCGCTTTCTACTATAAAACAAAGGCGTTGCCACAATGTTTTGTGCACATCAGCAGGGCACCTATTCTTCTTGCCCCTCTGCAAAGTATAGTAGTAAAAAAATCACTCTTTATTATGGTTGTGCTGCATCATTATGTCACCATAGCAAATTAAATCTGTAGATGCAGTTGTCTGTGACAAACTTTTAAGCTGTAGGAGGTGGGATACACTCTGACTACATGGATGGGGTTTTTTTGTTTTGTTTTTTTTTTGGAAATCTGTTTTGGTAGAAAATTCTGTGAAGTATATCAGTTTTGAGATGTTGATATGAATAGGGCACTTGATTACCAAGAGGACAATCCTAAAGATGCGCCAAATTCTCACGCAAACCCACACACTATAAAAATTTACAAATAGTGTAATAGTGTGCTTTTGTATATTCCCCGTACAGTTAAATTGAACAAATATACAGCGGGAATATAAGCAAGACCAACGCACCAAAAATATGTTTTAAAAAAAACTAAGTGCTTTAAGCCTTCAACCAGTTAAAACAAGCCAAATGCTGTATTCGATAGATGACCATATGCTTTTATGACATGGGAGCATACATATTAACCAAAGAAAATACAGCCAGTTAAGCACCAAAGATGCATAATCCAATCAACCCCGACCATAAAAATATTTCAACAATGGATTTAATGGTGGCTACTAAAACCATACCAAATATTTATATCTTCCTGAAGAGTTCTTATAATGAAGATGATTCAAGGAATTAGAATATCTTTTTTGGAACGAGCACAGGGAGTGGAAAAGTGCAGGAGATGTATACGCTCACCAGCAAAAATAAGATCATTGGTTCAAAAAGCCAAACTCTGTTATCCACTTGGCAATATGTGCATTCGAGAGATCGGTCAGTGATGCAGGTCTACCACGGACATTAAGGCCCCATTCACACTTGGCGATTCGCAAATCGCGTGTTTGTCGCGCGATTTGCATTTTGCGCAAATGCTTGCATTGAATCGCGGCAAAATCCACTCCAAAAAGGGGCCTGCTGTAGCGACACATGACCCGCGACAGCAGGACCCTTTGCCCCATTGCCAAGCATTGGAGAGCGATATCGCGATGTAAATAGCCGCGATATCGCGGGAATTACCGCGCGATAAATCGCTCAGTGTGAACGGGGCCTTATTGAGGGCCCATTCACACCATTTTGCGGTGTGTTCCAGAGCAGCAGCTGCTAGAACGCAGAGCAATCGCTCACAACTTCCCCCTTCATTCTGGGGCATGGCGGTCGTGTGGCAAAACATTGCGTTCCTGTCCAAAAAATGCTGCCTACTCTATTTTTTGCGTTTGCAGTGAACTGGAATGCAGGTAATGATTTGCCACATGTCCGATCGCGCTGCATGGCTGCGGTGCCATTGACTTCAATGCACCGCGACACCCCCTCGTGCCCCAGACCGAAGGGGGAAGTTTTGTGAGCAATTGCTGTGCGTTCCAGCAGCTGCCGCTCAGGAACGCACCGCAATTGGTGTGAATGGGCCCTAAATGTAAGATTACGTTTCCGAAGTTCATTCAACATTATTCTTAAGCGGCAAGTATGTAGCAAAGATTGCTGCAATGATCCAATTAAGTAGCCAATTTCTAATGCAACTCTCGAACGGTACTTGGCAGGAATTCTAGCGATATGCTCTCATGCAACTGGAAATGCTGACGTTGTAGAAGTATAAAGTGAAGTTTTCCACACAAATGCCAGCACACAGTATTTCTTCTCGGCAGACAGAATATAGCCAAATGTCCCAATAGAAAGACTAGGATGCAACACAATTTTATAGCGCTGTACTCTTATACATCCTGTCCATATGTCCGGAGCATGGCATTTCACAGCCCATATATCTTAGCAACTCCCTCTAGGGAACAGTAAACCATTACTTGTATAACGTAAACTGCAAAGGATGTATGTAAAAAAAACTCAGTCTCAGCCGTTTAACAATAAACCATACAACTCACTGCTCCCTTCCGATAATGATGCAATGAAGTCGATAGTATGTCCATACAACAAATGTCAAGATCAATCTTCAGTACAGGTATGCAGTCGCAAGCCGTGAGGGAGTTTGAATCAGAATATAATGCTTTTTCCCAAATCCAGTGTCACCGGAGTAACCCCCAACCCCAGTTTAATAAATAAAGCTGTTTTGTCTATTTTCGGAGAGTTGGTCTCTTGTAAATTCCACGCTGCTTGTATCTTTGTGCAATAGATAGGGCACTATCTTGATGGAAGTGAATTTATTGTCTGTTTCCAAACAATGAGGTTTACCAATCATGGTTGAGATGAACTGTCAGCTGCTCCCTGACTTTGTTCCATTTTTATCTTCACTGTCTTATTTCAGGCAGTCTGAATCAGAAATCCCTGCACTGAATCTCGCATCCCCAATAAATGCTGGAGTCCCTTCCGAAACTGTTCAAGCACAATCCATTCCTGTAATCGGAAAAAGTAAGCAATTTACAAAGCCTTGGCTATCCCCAAGGATTTGCGCATTGCCAGAAGAAAGTCTGTATAGAACAAGCAAAATTATTGAGCCTGATGTAGCAGGGAAGACTGGCTACAGTATTCCTACCGTAGTTGGCCTAAATGTTTCACGTCTGACATCTCCATCTGACCATTCTCAGGGACCTCCACATAATGGAGTGCTAAATATCAGCCCGAATTCTGCATCTAAAAGACCTCATTCTCCAAGTCTAGAGCATTCTCCAAAGCGAATAAAGGACACCCAAAAGGTTTGCATGCCATTCTAATCCTAAAATACACCTCATTGTTTTCTCTATGGTCCATTGAGGGACACAGGTTTGAAGAACTTCATAGAATCCCATCGCACTCCTGACCGAATACAACCCAAAACATCGGGTGGGTGCTGTAATGACTGAGGGTGCCATTGCAAAAATCAAGTACAAATTCCAAAAATGGGTCACCAGCACTCAAGTGAATTCTGTCAATTCTTTATTGATAAAAGCTATGTAAATGTGTAGCTACACATCGCGACGCACCTTTCTTTTGTCAATTAAGAAGAATTGACAAGAGTTTGCTTTGGTGTGCTGGTGACTAATTTTTTTTATTTTGTACAGGTTTGAAGAATTCTGAGACTTATGGTAATGCTGCTGCCTCCAGGAGAAATGGACACTAGGCAAAAAATTTGAAGCCTGCCACTTTAACCAGTTGACATCCGCGGTGTTAAACCCCCTTCCCATCCAGGCCATTTTTCAGTATTCATGCGAACGAGCACATATAGGCGATCGGCGGGCTATGGACCCGCTGATTGCCTATATGTGTGACACCCGGTACCGGGTGTGTGCATTGTCGGGTCTTTTCTGCCCGTGCGTGCCCGCGAGCAGAAAAAAATTGCCGTCTGGAGACGGCAACCCGCAGATGCAGCAGTGCCGTCCGTCCGTTTTTATACTACGGGCGGACGGCAAGAGGTTAAGGCTAGAACACCTCACACTTGCCCGTTTTGCTTGGTGTCCTCAGGAGAATGGATGTGGTGTTCTCTTCTGCTTTATTTTGTTTCTTCGTTGAAGATTCTTCTACCAAGAGCTGTTAGTCGGTTCATACCAGATATTAAATTCTGGGAGTCTTTTTAGCTAGCTGGCAAAACAGTTTCATGCCGGATAAGATAACTCCAGGACATTTCTCTAGTTGTCGTGAAGCGGGTAGTTTCTGCTCTGTGTGTATATGCTTCATCCTGTGGTGGTCTTGTGTTCCTGTTTTTCTTATTTATTGGTCAGGCAAGTATTACCTGGGGATTCCTGGTATGTTGTAAACAAGGCCATGGAGTCATGATTTAAAAGGGAGGAAAAAAGACCTGTTTTCTAAGGTTTGGGTGTTTTCCCTCTTCTTCTTCTTTTTTTTTTTTTTTTTTTTTTTTTTTTTTTTGGCTGGTGTTTTTTTG